ACTGATGACTGGAGCCTATAATTGATGTTATTGTTAGTTTACACATACAATGTCACTATTTTGTTGCAATTTCTTACAAAGCTTGCACGCAGATAGCAAATCTAGTATGTAAAATCATCAAACTTCTAATGCTCGTAACTCAGTTCAGACTGAGTTTAGAGGTATACATGTCATAGTAAGTTTAGTTTACTACACTATTTTGTAATAAAAAAATAAGGTTTGGTCGATGGCCGCGCGAAAAAAAAAAGACGCCACTTTCCATACAAAATCTGGCATTGCCATTTGTATGCGACACGTAATAATATTTAAAAAAAAAATTAAAATATCCTTGGACATTTTACACTGCGCTTCTAGTCCCAAACTAAGCAAAGCTTGTACTATGAGTACTAGACAACGGATATAAACATACTTAAATACTTTTTTTTTTGTAAATACATACTTATTATACATAGAAAACACCCAGTCCAATACAAACAAATATGTTCATGCACACAAATGTTTGTACTATGCGGGAATCGAACCCGCTACCTTCGGAATAGTAGTCCGTTTCGAACCACTACACCAAACGGCCGACAGTACTTTCCCTCCAGGTGGCATTACAAAATTCCACCCTGTATANTTACCGTGCTTTTGATTTGATGCTTGCAAGCATCGTTTGTGAATACGGGCGTGAAACGCTTGAAACAGCTTGTTGTTACCAATGAGTAAATTTTTTCATTAAAAAAATCTCATCCAGTCACACCAGTACTCGTTGGTTACACTGTAACCTGTATTTTATTACAGATAACTTAAGTTCTTTTGTGTACATATTTTGATTTTTGAATGTGTTTTGTACATTGTTTCTTTATAAACTTCTCCTGGTAATATTATAGATACTTAATGTGTGAAACAATGACAGTGTGACTGGATGGGATTTTATTCCCAACGAGTAACAGTAACAGACAGTGTCACTCGTTTGGGTGACTCGTTGGGAACAAACGGCTAAAAAGTTGAAGCAGCCAAAGTAACAAAAAGGTCTCCTCCAGAAAAATTGTATAATTAATTAGGTACATTGTAATAAAACGACGGCAAGTCAAGCTAAACGCATCTTAATAGTAATTGTAATAGAAAAAGAATAAAAAAATTATAACCTGTAACTGTCGTCTGTTTTGAAGACTTTATCTTCAGAAACAATGCTAATCTCAACCATATTTAGCAATAATACAGTTGGTAATATAATAAAAACGCCATGGGAGTCTATTTGATAGCGGTTTCACGTCATATTGAAATCATTTTGTGCTATGGGAAGTTATTTGCCATTGCAGTTATGGGAAATTATACTTTATCTTGTAAGTTATAGGGTTTACTTTGAAGTATTTTGCGGTTTTGTGGTGTAGAACGGTAGTTGTTAAAAAGATATTGATACAGGAAGCGCATAACAGTTATTTAAAGGGAATAGAGATTAAACTTGAATGAACTTAACCACAAAGTGCATAGTTACTTTCGATTTCTAGTGCGTTAACCATTCATAGACTGACTACTAAAGAATTTGAGTGTAAATAAAATTAAGTGATGTTAAAATTCGACCAACTCTTCGCCAACGTCCATACCACGTTGAAAACACCGGTTCTCGTCCGATCACCGAAGTTAAGCAACGTCGGGCGCGGTCAGTACTTGGATGGGTGACCGCCTGGGAACACCGCGTGATGTTGGCTTTTTGCTTATTTTTTAATGAATTTCGTAGTCCACTAAAAATTGCTAGGTAATATCATAATTTGGTTGAAAGATACGAATGGACGGAAAATTTTTAAGACAAAAAATCGTTTTAATTAACGAGTCTGTTAGTAGCATCAGTTAATTAATTAAACAATGATTTTGTACCCCTAATTGAGAGTAAGTTGTATACTTTACAGAGAAAGTCATAAGTTAGGAATTTTACCGTCATCGTGTAAACATAAAGAGAGAAAACAAAAGCTAATAATATTAATACAAGACATCAGTGAAAGTGGATAGCCAACAAACTGTGACGGAGTGATCCTCCTATACATATCCGAGCTTTTTTCAAGCCAATTGATACTGAATTCCAAGATCATACGGTTGCAATTACTTTGAAAACCACCTGTTAAAGGTGTCGATACACCTAAGCGTTAAGTTGTAACAAAATTCATCATTCGTAGACAAACAGAAACTTACATTTTGTGTTAATACTGTAACTTCTGTGCACCAAAGGGTGTTAAGTGTGTAAATAGTTCGTTCGCTTCAGCCAAATGACGTTCACTAGATGACTAGACAAAGGCCTCTTCCAAGGACTTCCACAACGAGCAGTCCGGCCTGTGGTCGCCAGTTCGCCACTCGAATTTTAATTTTAAAGTTAAATGTCACGTCCATGGCAATGAGGGTTTTCGCGATTGAAAAATCCGCCAGATGGCAATACGTAGACGGGAGGTCTAAATGCTGCATGATTGGTTATTTTTGACATGACATTGACAGATATGTCAAAATCCACTGCCATCTGGTGGATTTTTCAATCGCGAAAACCCTCATTCATACAGTGTGAGTCACGTTAAAGTGTACATATGAAAATAGATGAAACTAGACCTATTTTTATCGACAAAAAAGAGGTCAAAAAATATTATTAGTATTGCCTGTTATTTAGCATTGTTACTGTTTTTATTGTATCAAGATATACCGCTTAGTTTAAAAGTTATTATGTTTTATTTACAATAAGTAATTGGAAGAAAAAAAATTCTATAAAAAATTTAAAAAAATTCTCAAAATTTTTTTGACCTCTTTTTTGTCGATAAAGATAGGTCTAGTTTCATCTATTTTCATATGTACACTTTAACGTGACTCACACTGTATAGAAATAATGGAAAAATCCAAGGTTCAATTCACGATATCTATGAAAAAATATCCTGCCAAACTGTGTCCCCATTTAATACTCATTGTAGCGCTAAACCATTGTATCAGCACCTTAACGTATACGTCAATAATAACATCAATTTTATTACTTACACCTTAATGTTACGTTTCAATTTTCAATGTGACTATTTGTAAATTGTGTCATACATTATTAGACCTTATTGCTTTCATATTACGAGTTATTACGATTGAATGAGCACCTGACAGGTATACTTTATGAATGAGTTTATATCGTCGTAAACTAATTTGAAATATTGATATTGAATTTGAAACTTACGAAATGAAGCGTTACATTTTGGTAATGTGTTACATTTTTACATTATTAATTGTTTTATTTCAAATATGTATTTATTGACAAAAGATTGGGAAGTAGAATTTTAAAATCACTCAATTGGAAAAATTCCATGTAGGTATAATGGTGATTAAAATTTATAATGTGTAACTTTTATTCATTCTTGCCTTATAAAATGAGAATAAGTTTCTTAGCCTAATACGTCACCTTTGACAAAAAAGTAAAAATTATAAAATCCTCGTACTCGTACCTACTCTCCATAGTAATATTTGCCCCCACTGGGATTCGAATCTGCTGCTGCAGCTCGCTATAATCCGTCATACAAAACAAGCCAGGTTCTTCCAACTCACTTTTCAACGTGGAAAAACTTTTCCTCAAACAAACTTAAATTCTAGTTTAATAATCACTATCTTTTTACATTGTAGAGAACTAAATTGTTTTGTTGCAACAATAGCGGCAATATAACGAGAGAGATCGCGGCAATCAGCTGATTATGATTGTAACTAGCGTGTAGGGTTACCATGTTGAGAAACATTATTATATTATTTCAAGGACGCTGGCTGGAGTATTGATTAACACTTTATTTCGTTAATAGAGGATCAAATACCACCAGTCGATGGAGATAATTTTTGTGACCAGCCAAAACTCGGTTTCTTCATAAAGTTGGTTATTAGGTACCTACTTCCGTTTATATGTTTCTTAACCTTGGCATTAGGCAAACTGGCACCGACAGCTAAAATATCAATCATGGATAATTTTGTCCTAATAAATAATATAAAACAAAATTACTTTTGTACTTTTTGAAGTGGGTTTTTTAAAATTAATTTATTCAAACTGACTGAATGACCATTTTGAAATCAAATTAAATCAAATCTGATATACCCTTTGTTGCACATTAAAGTATTAAAGGAGTACTTAATGCCAGTGTAATTATGTAACTACATTGTCATACTCTACTTACTCTATTAGTGACTGTATTGCTTGCGCTGCTTCTTCTCAGCACTGGCCCATTTATTGTCCTGAAGCAGTGGTAGAGTTATGGGACGAATAATGGGACGTGTAAAGTAAAAATACTTTTTAAAAGCCTACTTGCATAAATAAATGAGTTGTTTTTGGGTCAAACAGAAATCAAAAATGTCCTCCAAAACCTCAAATCACGGTCACCCTACAAGTACGTGGTCCAATTTTGCCCGCGGAATGGGCCAGCTGTACAGGCTCATTACATTAGAAAGTACCATATCAATGTCTTGACGTCAACCAACGTGGTTGTTTACTTGTTATGTCATTTATATTGGCGGAGAAATGGTGGCAGTGTAATGAACTGTCCGTACTTTACAATGTTATTGTCGTGTGGCGTACAGTTTAATTATTCTGTACGGTTAGTAGTCTCGAAACAGAATCACAATTGGCAACAATGAAATCTTGTAAGCAGTAGCTGCAAATCAAGTCTTTTTAGAGAGCTGAGAGGATATGAAATGACACTTTTGTATTAAATCTAAAATATTGTTATTACAAAAACAGCTACGCGAGGAGATACAAATCTTTCATAGCTTATGTTGAATCGAATATTAAGAATAATTTCAAATTCTAGGGTAGAGTTCGACCCATTTGGATTTAGAATCTTTAGAGTTGTGTTGTTTGTGACTCCACAAAAGTATCCGTACCTACTCTATGTTCAAACTTTTATCTCTTCACTTTAGTTTGTTTCACGATTAACATACTTAACAGTTAGTTAGGTAAACACTATTTTGTTGTAAATTGTCCCTGAAAAATAATAAACTCATAAATTACTTTTCTTTTGTTTCAGATAGTCGACGAAAACAGCTGGCTGGAAAAATGACGCGCAGAAGAAGATAGCGTTCCATTTTCAAAAATTCAAAAGTGCCATGTGTGGGTGACAGTGTTGATCACAATGAGTGAATGAAAAACAAAAAACAAAATGGCGTCGATATCGCGAGTGACACTAGTGAGTGTGGTGGCTTGTGCCGTGTTTGTGTGTGTGAGTGGACACGTGGCGTTGACGTACCCTCCAGCTAGGAGGTTCGATTTGGACTTTTTGGACAATTCCAGGACGAAACCGCCATGCGGGATGCCCAAAGGTAAATGAAAATTTTTTACTTGCTTAGATATTTTAACTACCAGGTGTATAAACCTTCCATGAAACTTGTTTGTATTATTTGCCGAGAGATGTCACTGTACTTTGAGACGCGTAAAGCTGTACCGCGGTGTCCAAATTTTTTTCCCCGGCTTTATACATATACCGGGAGGATTTTGACCTTTGAGAACCATTGACAACTTGTGTCAAGCATTAAATTGTCACCTTCATATTGACGTCTTATTTATACCTAGATAAGAGTCCCTTAAGTGCACAGAGTATTATTCACCAGGTTTATTATTATAGCGTTTAACTGAGTAGGTCCCTGCAGCAGGAATCCTGCGATTAAGGAGAGACATGTGACCTAATAGAGCTATTTTGGCCGTTTGTTCCCAACCAGTCACACCGAAACGTGTAACACTGTTAATGGATTCGAAAAAATCCCATCGAGTCACACTGATCACCATCTTCCCAACGGTTCACACACCGATTGAGTCGGCATTAATTAATGTCATAACAATTGATTATCTATTGTGTCTAGATTCGCGGAGCTTGAAGGATTAAATACCTTAAGCCTAAACTGTTCAGTAAATTAAAAAAATGTATTTTAAATCCTTTTATCTTCCGGGATTTAATATCAAATTACTTTTTCTCTTTTGAACTAGTATGTCCAGAAATAGAGTGAGGTATAATTTTAGCAAATGTCACGGTCTTGGAACGTTTAGAGGGCCTGTTCTACACAAAACATGTCGGCAATATAATTTATAGTGTCACCCAGTTACCTACATAAATGTTCTTCACGCATTGAAATATTATCGTACATACTTCGAAACAGCAATAAAACGGCTATAAAAACTATTATAGCAACATAATGTTACTTAATGGTTTTTCTGTGTAATAAATAGTACAATTTATTATAGGTATTATTTGCAAACCGGTATTTAATTAAATGCCTAGTTTAAATGATAAAATTATTTGATTAGACCAGGGCTTCCCAATCTTTTTAAGGTTCCGTAGTCAAATGGCAAAGAAAGACTTATGATAGTCGCTCGCATTCTATTTGTACTTCTACCCAAAATTCGCCCGTTTCTTCGCCAACGTCCATACCACGTTGAAAACACCGGTTCTCGTCCGATCACCGAAGTTAAGCAACGTCGGGCGCAGTCAGTACTTGGATGGGTGACCGCCTGGGAACACCGCGTGATGTTGGCTTTTTGCTATTTTTTTAAAATGATGATCATAATGCAGAATTTTCATTTTAATTAAAGTAAAAATCACTGGCTTATAACCGTACGAAGTGTAATCAATGTGAATTTTTGATCACCGCTCTTCTATGTTGACAAAGTCGCTGATAAAAACAGCGATAACAGGTTTGTTTATAAATAGAGATCTAGGCATGCCGTTGTGACCTAGGTCGTTGACCTCTGCCTCACGCTGCAATCTCACAGTCGGCTCCAATATAATGTGGCAATGTTTATAAACATTATAATCTGGGCCAAAGATTATTATCTGTTGTCTAAGTAATAGCACAAAATAGTTTTATTGCATTTAATGAAAACATTTCAGTTGAAAAAAAAACTTTTATTTTTTATCTTTTTTTTTTCATTTCATTTTCAAAACTGTGTGTGTGCATTTTCCGGTTAATTTCTGAAACGGCTTGAGCGATTTTGATAAGAATAAGGACGGAATGGGGCTTTGTGGAAAAAAAAACACTTTTACTGCACTTCTTCATTTTGAACAGCAAATTGAAAAGTAACTGGAATTTTAGGGCTAGAATGAAGTATTGCTCATGTCTTGGAAAATTAAATATTGAAATTACTTATTGCCTTAATAGCGTCAAGTTTCAATCTTAGTCAATCTTTTAGTTTGCAAGATTTCAGATTTTATTGAAACTGACTGTAGTGTTTTTAGACAAGGTACAGGCAACAGCACATCAAGGTAACGCTGTGGTAGCATCTGATACAGTTGTAATAGAGGCTAACTTACAAAAAACTTGTCTGATTTGACAGACTGTACTTACATTTGATGAAATCTTGTTTAATAGTACCTAATGTCTGAAACATTTAATTTTTATTTGGTCGATTTACTTTCAAGGCTTGTGTTGGTACATAATTGATTTTTGAATTATTTTATTTTTTTGAGATAATTATGTGTTGGATTTTACACAATAAAAACAATAAAAAACCAATAATAGTTCCATCAATGTTATCAACACCAGACAAATAATTAAATTATTAATTAAATTAATTAACGATAACTGTTATATTGCGCAATAATTTAATAACGAAATATTGGACTTATAAAAAAATTAAAAAAACTATACAGCGAGGAAACGCGGTACTCTCGCTTCCTTTTTTACAGCATTTTTAAGACGTTTTTTTTTATTAGCAAAATAATTGAAAGGGATTTTTTTTTACTTTTTTGTGTAAGTTGCATGCACGTTACGTTTCATGATTTTATCGAATTTAATAACAATGTTATTAAATAAAAACATTATGTTATTGTAACATATCTTTTCTGCAGTTGGTAAAATGTAATAAATTTGGCCGTAGTAAGGTCTTAATAATTTCGGCCTCGATCGTCAAGCAGTCGTGGCCGAGTGGTTAAGGCGTCTGACTCGAAATCAGATTCCCTCTGGGAGCGTAGGTTCGAATCCTACCGGCTGCGAAATTTTTGTTTTGAATTGAAAATATATTTTTGCTTAATTAATTTAATTATATTTTATGTATACTACTGCTAACTAGTAGTTAATACATACATATTTCATATTGCATAGGTTTATCCACAGTAGACTGCCATGGACTGAAATTATTTTATAGAGCGTCCTCCTTAGGGTACCGTAGTCCTGACAAGGAACCCTTATTGTGATATAATATGAGCCTGCATTACATTCAGAATAGTACTCAGTGTCATTTAAGAATTTAAATATCAGAGTAAATGGAGGGGGTTTCTTCTTCATCAGATAGAATAGACAAAACATAAAATAGTGGAGTGATGATTGTATTTTCAATCTTACATATTTTTCAGCAATTCAGAATGTCTAAGGATAACTATTGCAGTGAGGGTGGTTGTTCATTAATGCCAATCGATATAACGATATTAGCAATCCTGTGAAACACTCAGATATTGCAATTGCAACCCAAATAGGTAACCTAATATTGATTGCAAAGTAAGAAAATTAAATATCTGTGTCAGTTGGTTTTTCCCATGAAATTTTATTTAAAACTTTAAAACAAGTTCATCCAATTGAACTGAAGTGCTTTCATGAGTATTTCTATGAGAAACAAACCTATAATAGCTTCTAAGATAAATTATGGAAAATTCAGGCCACGTATTTTCATAAATTCATACTCTATGACTCTACCTTGCTTGAAATAAGCTCCAAAATCGTGTGTATCTTCGAGCTTTCGAGGCAGACGCTGCCTTATTGATCGGTCAAGGGGTGACTCCTGGAAAACACCGCTTGGAAAATCAGCTCTATCTGTCTTTGTCTCTCGCATCTCAATGTTATGGTGGGCGACAGAGATGGGTAGAGTCGAATATTTTGGAATTGTTCTAAGGGTAGGGTCCTCAGATGCGCGCGCAAGCCTTACTAGCCAAAGGTTCCGTAGTTTTGGTCGGCACATCAAGGGACCGTGTGGCCTAATGGATAAGGCGTCGGACTTCGGATCCGAAGATTGCAGGTTCGAGTCCTGTCACGGTCGAACTAATATTTTGTTTTTGATGGCCATGAGCTTTTCCTGCGCGCTAGAAGGGTGAGACTAGGGTTGCCAGGCGTCCGGCTTTAGCCGGACATGTTTGGCTTTTTAGGGTCTTGTCCGGCCAAATATTGCCTTGTCCGGCCTGTCCGGTTTTTGTTAGGCTTTTTATTTGGTTGCCACGCCAGGCGAAAGTCGAGCCACAGAATCAAATGAAGCGCACACATCACGGATGTTGGTTTTGCAACCGATGATGATAGTACTCACTCATGAGCTGAAACTAATTGCCCCCCCCCCCCCCCGTCACATGTCCGGCTTTTAGGGTAAAATGTCCGGCCAAATGAAACACAAAGTCCGGCTTTTGTGATTTTGGACCTGGCAACCCTANTTTTTAACCTTTAACCGACGACGTGATTTTTTTGTCACGCCGTCTGCGACGTGCGGTCTGTGGGACCGCTATACTGTTTACTCAAAAAGTAATATTTTTTTGTATAAAAGTATATTGGTTTTATATTTTTTGAGAACATTATAGTATTACAAATAAACATACGTATAATTTGCGAGGACTCAATGTATATTTTTTATTTAAATATGGCTAAAACTTTTTTGACCCTTAATTTCATCGAAATTACACTAGAGCTCAATAATACCTATATAACTTGTAAATTTTAATCAAAGCAAGAAAAACTATACTCCTTCCTAAATATAGTGAACATAATGAATAAAATAAAAATAAATGACACGTACATTACATGCACAAAAAAAAATTGACGTAGGGTAAACATCAGGCAAAATCAGGACATTTTTTTTACTGCATGCCAAGCATTTTCGGAATGCATAGGTAACACCTGTAAGATAATTTCGTTTTCAATTTAGATGGACTAAAATGTACGTCTTTTTTGCAGCTGGTGCAATGACATCAGGCTGATTTGGCATGTCAGAGCTTAGAATACAGTCACTGTTTGCTTTACCACCCGTTTCGCGGTATTTTTTTTACAGACTACCATCTTTTACGTAATATTATGTTCAAATATCAATACATCATTAGGAAATGTCTTTTCCTAGGTTGTGGCGGCCCAGGATCCATCATTTTTACGAAAAATGTGTCGTCTAAAACAAAAACACCATTTTCAGTATGGTACAAAAATGTCACGTAGTCTGCGACGTGCGGTCCCACAGACCGCTGTTGAACTTTAAATCGAATTATCTTATTAAAACTGCTCTCGTCGATGTAACCACTTCCTGTAATGGCGTTTGGGCAACTAAACTCGAAGGTACTGAGATGCTCGGGACACGGGAGTAAGTAGAACATTGCAATCCAGAAATTTCAAAAACCGGAGCGGTCTGTGAGACCGCACCTCGTCGGTTAAAGGTTAAGAAGACGTTTTTTTATTAGAAAAATAATTGAAAGGGATTTTTTTTTTTAGTTTTTTGTGTAAGTTGCATGCACGTTACGTTTCATGATTATCGAATTTAATAACATAATGTTAAAAACATAGCTATCTTTTCTGCAGTTGGTAAAATGTAATAAATTTGGCCGTAGTAAGGTCTTAATAATTTCGGCCTCGAGCGTCAAGCAGTCGTGGCCGAGTGGTTAAGGCGTCTGACTCGAAATCAGATTCCCTCTGGGAGCGTAGGTTCGAATCCTGCCGGCTGCGAAATTTTTTGTTTTGAATTGAAAATATATTTTTGCTTAATTAATTTAACTATATTTTATGTATACTACTGCTAACTAGTAGTTAATACATACATATTTCATATTGCATAGGTTTATCCACAGTAGACTGCCATGGACTGAAATTATTTTATAGAGCGTCCTCCTTAGGGTACCGTAGTCCTGACAAGGAACCCTTATTGTGATATAATATGAGCCTGCATTACATTCAGAATAGTACTCAGTGTCATTTAAGAATTTAAATATCAGAGTAAATGGAGGGGGTTTCTTCTTCATCAGATAGAATAGACAAAACATAAAATAGTGGAGTGATGATTGTATTTTCAATCTTACATATTTTTCAGCAATTCAGAATGTCTAAGCATAACTATTGCAGTGAGTGGGTGGTTGTTAATTAATGCCAATCCATATTAGAAATCCTGTTAACCACATAAATTGCAATTGCAATCCAAATCTTAACCTAATATTGATTGCAAAGTAAGAAATATCTGTCAGTTGGTTTTTCCATGACATTTTACTTAAAACTTTGAAACAAGTTCACCCAACTACACTGAAGTGCTTTCATGAATATTTCTATGAAAATCAAGACCTTTAATCGCTTTGAAGGTATGTGGATATATATCAGGCCGTGTATTTTCATAAATTCATACTCTACTTTCTTGAAATAAGCTCTAAAATCGTGTGTATCTTCGAGCTTTCGAGGCAGACGCTGCCTTATTGATCGGGCAAGGGGTGACTCCTGGAAAACACCGCTTGGAAAATCAGCTCTATCTGTCTTTGTCTCTCGGATCTCAATGTTATGTGGGCGACAGAGATGGGTAGAGTCGAATATTTTGGAATCGTTCTAAGGGTAGGGTCCTCAGATGCGCGCGCAAGCCTTACTAGCCAAGGGTTCCGTAGTTTTGGTCGGCACATCAAGGGACCGTGTGGCCTAATGGATAAGGCGTCGGACTTCGGATCCGAAGATTGCAGGTTCGAGTCCTGTCACGGTCGAATTAACATTTTGTTTTTGATGGCCATTAGCTTTTCCTGCGCGCTAGAAGGGTGAGAGAGACGGTCATAAGATCTAACACACAAAAGGCTAAAAAACGGCAAGCTGAAACCTTATTTTTGACTTTCACATAGTTAACATCAAAGCAAGGGCTACTGATTACTTTTTGACAATCATACAGGTTCCCAAGCAACTTTTGATAGTCAAAAGAACTAGAAAGTCAAGGGACTTTCTGTATTCAGAAAATTCTATAGCAACATTTAAGCTAATGGCACACAATAGACTACACTCATTGTCATCAATTATTTAAAATCGAAAATATCGTAAGAAGTAGGCCTATAGAAACCAAATCCTTTGAAAAATCGCGAAAGTGTGGCGACTGGCATTACATTATTACTATTTACTACAAGTAAAAGTTTAAGCTGCTAGCTGCTGCGAGTATACACGTGGTGTGGAGCCGGCTTTTACCAACCAAAACCATAATATAACTTCTATCAATACTAGTTTTTAATTATTTAAATTTAACGCAGGCCGCTACCAACCGGGCAGCATGGAAAGCATTGGGGGAGGCCTATGTTCAGCAGTGGACGTCCTATGGCTGAGATGATGACGATGATGATGATGAATTATTTAAATACTTTCTAATCATAGTGCTTTAAACTTGCAAATGAGGTTCTTTTCATTGATACAACTTTAGCAAAGCTTGAGACTACGCAGCGCAGTCCCGTAACCCAAAAATGAAATGGTTTGATTGAGTAAAGGGTAATGTAGGTAGGACCTAGGTAGTTACTGACTGTGATAAATGATATTCGATGTGTCTCCAATGTTACGGATACAGTTAGTCTATCTAACAAAAATAAAGTTGCAACTTTACTTTTGAAAGCACACGTTTAATGAAATTGCGCTCTCTTTAATTAAAGAGCTATAAACCTGTTTAGGTAATACTAAAAATAAGTATATTACACCTACTCCCAATATGTTTTATGAGTTTTTAAATTAAAGTCAATCAGAATTTAATGAATTAGTGAACCTTCTTAACTTATCTCAAATCTAAGTTGTCAAGTTATCTAATTTGATTACAGTTAAGAGGGAAATGGGCAATTAACGATGGGAACTGTGTTTTTTACGTAACCATAATGTTTTGTTGCTTTGGTTAAATGCCGAAGAATAGAAAATCCAGTTAGTGAAGTAATTTTCTCAAGCACAATGAGTTTCATTTGGAACCGTTTGCGCCACCTGTGACCGGTTGTGTAACTAAATGGTGTCATCTTGAGGTAGTACTTCTACTCGCCGACAGATGGCGCAAATTAAATATTTTAAGATTGTTAATTGATGAGAAAAAAAATGCTTGTTTTTTTGGCTAAGATTATTAAGAAAATGATTTNATTGTTTTGTTTGTTTCAGGAACATTAAAAACATCATTTGTTGCGGGTTCAACATTTACAGTCCATTGGCATTTGGCGTATGCGCATCGTGTAAGTTTCTTTCAAATTTGTATGTCACATTTAACCAATAAACATAAGAGGATGTTTAACCTTGCCTTTTTAGGGAAATTTAGAATGGGGCAAGCTTGTAAGGGGTAAATGGGAATGCCACTTATCTTGCATTTATTGATACTAAGTATGTCGATTGATATAAACTCACGATATCTTCTACATTTATGTGTTGACAGGGTGGATTCAGTTTGAGAATATTAGATGAGCTGGAACGGCCAGTTCTGGACCTGACACCGAGAGCAGCTGGCTCTGAATTCGTGCGAGATGACGTTACGTAAGTATAACTTAATTATTTATCGTTCGTTCGTTTCAGCCAAATGACGTCCACTGCTGGACAAAGACCTCCCCCAAGGCTTTCCATAACGACCGGTCCTACGCTGCCCGCATCCAGGTTCTTCCCGCGACCTTCATCAGATTGTCGGTCCAGCTAGTAGGAGGCCTGCCCACGCTACGTCTTCCGGCCCTTGGTTGCCACTCGAGAACGTTTCTGTTCCAACCATTGTATTTCGTTGCAACTTTTTACTTAAAAAATAATTAAAATTAAGATCTAGATCTATCCTACACGAATTCAATAAATTACCAATATAATTAAACTTTTCAGCGCCCAGAAATACGAAGTCCGTCTGCCCGGCGACTTCACCTGTGAGAACTGCACGTTACAACTGCAGCGGGAAGCTGGTGAATGGGGCGCCAACTACCGGTTCTGGTCCTGCGCTGACATCGATATTGTGCCTCGTAAGTTCATCTTCAGGGGGCGTAGTGTGAATTTACATAAAACGTCCTGACTAGTGAGCGCGTTAAAAATTTATGAAAATTTTAGTTCTTGAAAGTTTCCGCTAGGGGCGCTGTAAATTTTTTTCGCGCTCACTAGTGACGACGTTTGATGTGAACTCACACTAAGCCCTCAGGTCATTTTGTCTCCTTGTCATTCTTGCCATTTTGTAAGAACACAGCCTTTCAATTTACCAGAAGCAAATTGAGGATTTTTGGCCCACAATCCTCGACATAGGGCAGACAGTACCTCTAGCATGAACAACTTTCGTCTTCGAATCGTTTGCATATTCGATAAAATTCGATACTCAACCTTCGAATTAAACGATAACGTGAAAATTTTGTCTCTCAAAATAAGTTTCGTGCAACCATTTCTCATACTAAGTTCACTTTACGACACGTTCACAAGAGCGCTGTTGTTGTTGTCGTACTAAATCTTTTGATGGCGATTCGAATAGGCAAACGATTCAAACTCGAAAGTTATTCGTGCTAGCCGTACTGGTTGGGTTGTTGCATGTTTATTTCTTCCTTAATCGCCATTTAGGCCCGGCTTCTACCAAGGCAAAGTGGAGCGGAGAAGAGAGATGTATCGGGCGGACTCATTTTTCTATAGAATTTGACAGCGGATACGGCGCGGAGCGAAGCCTTGCGGAGCGGAGAAAAGATGTGAAAATAACGAAATCTGATTGGTTATTCAAAACACATCTCCGCTCCGCTCAACCTTGGTGTTAAACGAGCCTTATACCTCGTCTTATGTGCCGTACGTCAAAATGTTCTTTGGGGGAAGCTTATGACACAGTGATGAAGAATGTTATGAATGTCAGTCAGACAGCCAGGTTCCTAAGACTGGTTTTCACACCCACATACCTCTAATACACAATACTAGTTTTTGGTATTTGGTCACTATTAAGCAACCACTACAATTAGCTGAATTCTTTTGTTGATTAGATAAAGATCACTTGTGTGACAGATTCAAATGCAAGGTAATGAATTATTCAAGATTTATAAGTACCTTTGGTATGAAGAAAGTAGCCTTTTGATTGACAAGGACGATCTTAATCTACAGCAGGTTGTTTTGAAGTTATGATCAGGCTTAATTTTGATGTGACATTTATGTAAATATTTGTATAAATTACATTTGGCCTTGGTAGCAAGTTTCCTTGAACAATGTGAATAGTTATTGTTTATTTTCAAAGACAATAACAACGAAATTATCAAGGCTAATATTATGGTTAGCTTCTTAATATTCCTTAGTAAATTAAAGAGATTAAGGTATGAGTACGTACGACATTTCTGATGGTTTAGTGTCTTTGTGTGGTCTTTGTTTCTTCTTCTTTTGTTCAAAATATCTCATTCGCTAATATTTTCTCTCGATTGTAAATTATTAGGTACCTCATAATAATGACACCACAACCATTTAAGCATAAACTTAACATCTTATGGTCATATTATAGAACCATTATGGTTGGTACATAATAATTCCCATACATACCTACATAAAAACCTGTTTTACAATTACCTTTATTGAAATCGAAAACTGGTATTATCCACGCTTAGGTGATTGCAAAATTATTACTTAACAGAGATGGTCACTGAAGATAATATTTTGCTGTAATAATGGTTATCTAGAGTCACAATGAATGGTTTTATGAGATTGCGGTAAAAGCATTGGTGCTAAAAGCTAACAAATTAACGGTAATAACTGTGAGAAAGTTCTTTTGCATTAGGAAGTGGAGTGTAGGTGTAAATTATGATTTTATGATGTAAGGCTTGAAACGTCTGCTTCAAAAAATGAAGAGTAAATAAAGATTCACTTTACTTAACTTTGAAACTTATGTAAAACTTGTTTCTTACGTCAAGGCTTTCTAGTGGTGGCAGATTTTTTTTAGTGAAATATCATCAGGTTCAAAAACATTGCTTTTTTTCTCTAAGTATACCAGTTTAAGGGTTAAGAGTTTGAATTTTTTTGAGATTAATAAATTCAATGTAGGTACGCTTTGCAGTTCCAAATCACGTATTTTTCCAAATCACGTCACGTATTTATTTACTGCTTATTTAATCTTTAATAGGTCAGCTATGCATGGTCAATATACGACGACAGCACATCAAGCCAAATACTGTGGCATTTAATGCAATTATAACTTGAAGTAGGTGCAATTTTGCATCAAATGTAGGTAGTCTTCATTCTACTACAAAACAGCTGGTATTATAGCAATAACAATATTTTATTACTCCACAGGCAAAGACTACCATGAGACCTGTTCCGGCAAGGGTTTCCACATCCTAGGCCGTTGCAAATGCAACAAGATGTACTACGGGTCTCGCTGCCAGTTCTCTGACGAGTGTCTGGAGGACACCGACTGTGGACTCCGAGGGAAGTGTATGGAGACCAACTCCACTGAGGCTCCGGCTAAAGTGTGCTATTGTCCGTTTGGGTTCTACGGGAAAGGGTGTAACAAGAGTAAGTTTGCATGATATACCTACATTTTACATGATTTACTACGTTTTTAGAGCGTCCGTGTCTTTATTATGCTTTGAAGGGCATAAATCTACCCTGGTTTACTCTAAATACGATCAGAAAGAATTGTATATTCGAGTGTTAAATTTGACGATAGTGACAACTACATAGTATTATTTGCACTGAATTGTGATAAAGAAGAAAATTAAAATATTTGAAAAGAATTTGCTTCATGATTTCTAGTTTACCCTTTTTCCTTCTTTTTAAGGTCGGATTAATGTGAAGTATGGGCCATAATTCTACTTACAAACCGTCCTTAACAATCCATTATTTCATTTTCGTTCAAAATGTTAACCGTACTACTGCCATCTAGTGTCGAGTGGCGACACTAACCAGATAGCGCCATCTATTATTTATTTCTAGAAACAAATTCACCTTTTTGACGTGTTATTCTTACTTTTCAGAGGCACCATGGAAGGACAAAAAGGTGAACTTAGGTCTTTACACAAAGAAGGAGCTTTCAAAGGAGTTTAACTTGTACTGGAGGGTGCTGAAGGATGAAGCGGAGATTGAGGTCATCATGATGGTCAACGGAACATCGTATGCTGGTAAAAAAACTCATGAAACTTATTTTACTTTTAGGCTTTTAAAAAACACTTTTACACGTCCCAGTATTAACCCTACCACTGCTTCAGGACAATAAATGGGCCAGTAGCGAGAAGAAGCAGCGCAAGAAACTCAGTCACTATTGTATTGATTTTAAAAACGTTGAAAAATGTCTTGCCCTTTTTATACACGTCTCTTTAGTTTAGTGGTTTGAAAGTTGACGTCTCTAGGTCCTAGCTTCGATTCCTAAATGGGTCAGAAAATGAATTCACTGTTTTTTAGGCCAATTCATTTAAGTTTGAAGTGAAATGTGAATAAAACATACCTAGTTAATCCTCTTTTCTTTTTTTAGGTTTGGGCTGGCGACCAAGTGGACTGACGAAAGAATGTAAAAACTTCCCGGTGTTGGGGCCTTCTATTGATGAAAAACGTAAGTTGAGTGAATGTGTTGAAGTATAGTCGACATCACATCAATGTACACTTTTTAGTTAGAAGAAAGAAAGAAAAATATTTATTTGGTACTAAATGTTATAATCTATACTTAATACTAATATTATAAAGCTGAAGAGTTTGTTTGTTTGTTTACTTGAACGCGCTAATCTCCGGAACTACTGGTCCGATTTGAAAATTTTTTTCAGTCTTAAATAGCCTATCATCACGCTACGATCAATAGGAGCAGAGCAATAATGAAAAATGTTGCGAAAACGGGTTTTCACGCGTACGAAGTCGCGGGCATAGCTAGTTACACACACACAACACACACACACACACACATTAGAAAACTAGAAGCGATTTGCAATTTGTTACAAGATGAAAAAAAAAATTCAAAACCATATTACGTATTTGTGTCGTTATTATTTTTGTATTTAAATTAAATAAAATAGCACCTTTACCACATGCTACATGTAGAGAGTACACCAAAACCAGAGCCGTTACCCGAACCGGAGCCCAAAGCGGAACCGGAGCCGAAAGCGAAGCCAGAGCCATCGGCGGAACCCGCGGCCGAACCAGCTGCCGAACCCGTGGCCGAACCGAGCGCTGAACCCGTGGCGAAGCCCGAACCGAGCGCCGAGCCTGAGCCAACGGCAGGTTAGGATATAATATGTTACCTCTATTACGTTTAATTTTCAAGCTTGTATCTTAGACTTTAGCCAAAATGTTTTTGTATGCGTTGTCTTTACCAGCTGATATTTCATTCCCAATTAATGAAAAAAGGATTAAAGGATTGCCCAAACTCTTAAAAAAATAAAAACTGTTGTATTAATGTTGTTGGTAGGTATACCTCAATAAATAAAATAAAAAATAAAATAAAAATAAAACATTACTAGGGAACGTGTAAATCGGTAGAGGACTCTAATTTATGTTCGTTCGTTTCAGCCAAATGACGTCCACTGCTGGACAAAATACCCCACGGATTACCACTAATTCAATACTCAATATGTTTATTGCTTCCTTAAGTACATTTAGGTGTTACATATATTTGGAGATCATTAAGGACCCTGTTGGGCGCTGCAAACTTAAAATCTAAGGAGAGGTTCCCATGTATTAAACTTCATTCATTCATGTATTAAATTAAATAAATAATGAGAATATTGCAATTATTCTTTCTAAATAGTATCTTCACTCTTTTTACTTCTGATAATGCTATTTTTAAAATAACCCTAATTTCACGTTTCCCAGAACCCAAACCCGAGCCAGAACCCACTTCAGAGCCGGCGCCCGAGCCAGAAGCCACTTCAACTTCTCCAATAGAGAGCGATAACCGCAACAAGCGCGTGGCGATGCACTCGCTAGACGGATTCGACTTCAAAAACTTGGGAAACGACGTCACTGTCAAGACGAGCATATCGTACAAAGTTTCTAGTTCTAAAGGTAACAAACACCTTTTGATTTGTAATTCGTTACAAGTTTTCTTCTACAAAGTACCCTAGATAGGATGACTATCGCACGTATTCACAAACGATGCTTGCTTAAGTGAAGTAGCAAATCGAACGCACAGCGTTGAATAGAGCTCTGTGATTGGTTCGTGTGTCACCCTGTGCGTCCACGCGCACTGTGAGACCTCATAGTAATGTTTGCGAATACGGACGTATAGCTTTAAAAAATATAACTAACCTCACAAACTTATAACTTATAGTTTATAATTATGTAGCATCTTGGCCTGGTTGACAGAATTTTTAATATTCAACTGTATTATTTTTTACAGGACGCCGAAAACGCGAAACGTCAACCAACAGCAGTAAGTTCCAATACCTTTAAATGAAGCAATTATAAATACAGTAATAAAAACTGCACTATAACACACGAACGCTAAAAGCAGGCATTTGCCACGCAAAAACAGCACATAATTGGCAACAAACTAACAGTAAATGTATAATATATCACAGGACACATAGCCTCAAAATTTGACTAAAGCACGTTTTGTTAAGTCTACCTATTTTTAGGCCAGCTAAATGTTTCAGGGATGATATAAAATGGGCGTCATAGGGTCCCAATAGCTATGAAGCTTGAAACAGCGTGTAAGATGTCATTATACCCCACATCTATGGGATATGTGGTCTGTGAGAAACACTAATGTATATAATGCTGCATGGTCCCCTTATTTTTGCAGATGTGGAAACAACGACCTCTTTTGTCCCAGAAACCACCCCTATCCCTGAACCCGAACCTACCTCCGTGCCAGAACCCACCCCAGAACCCAAAACTGAGTCTACCCCAAAGCCTAAATCTAAACCAAAGTTTGCACCAAAGTCTAAACGCTTACCACTTAATCATTCCGCGCTGAATCCCATTCCGGGATCTAAATCGGTGCCAGAGCCTAAGGCTGCATCTAAGCTTGAGGTAGAGCCTACTCCTGAACCGAAATCAGAGCCTGAGCCTACCTCAGAACCCACTTCTGAGCCAGAACCCACTTCTGAACCTACATCGGAACCGGAACCTACAGCTGAGCCTAAATCTGAGCCAGAACCTACAGCGGAGCCTAAATCAGAGCCAGAACCTAATCCAGAGCCAAAATCTGAGCCCGAACCCACGGCCGAACCCAAATCTGAACCTGAACCGTCCCCAGAACCGAAATCAGAGCCCGAACCCACGCCAGAACCCAAGTCAGAGCCAGAACCGTCCCCCGAACCGAAATCAGAACCAAGCCCTCAACCAGAGCCAAAAGCCGAGCCTGAGCCTTCCCCGGAACCCAAATCAGAACCCGAACCCTCCCCAGAACCCAAATCCGAGCCAGAACCCTCCCCAGAACCCAAATCTGAGCCAGAACCTTCCCCAGAACCAAAGTCCGAGCCAGAACCTTCTCCAGAACCAAAATCAGAACCCGAACCCTCCCCAGAACCAAAATCAGAACCAGAACCCTCCCCAGAACCCAAATCTGAGCCAGAACCCTCCCCAGAACCGAAATCTGAGCCAGAACCATCCCCAGAACCCAAATCTAAGCCAGAACCATCCCCAGAACCCACTAAAGCCGAGTCGGATACCGAGATATTGCTAGTCAAGGGACTTACCGAAGAAGCAGGTAACGCACTAGCTTTGCACTTAAAAAGTATAGTCTGCAGCAATAATAATATTCTACAGCAATTTAATACGATAAAAAACAACAGTGATCTACTTATAACATTATTTAGTTAGTGTGCTGTACCTAGTCGGCCATTTTTGTTTGCGAGATTGCAATTTTTTATTGGAGCAGACTATACTTCGGTTGTTTGAGTTGGTACATAAGTAATTATGAAACGAAATGAGAAATATTAATCATCAGTCAACTGTACCCACTTGAACAACTTATTTCCATTGATAAAATAAAATAAAGAACTAAAAAAAATACTAATTAAGAAGATTAAAAGTTTGGTAACAATTTAATTTTATCGATGGATTATATTGAATTATATTTGTATAGCATTTATGTATAGCACAGTAGACATTAATATAATTAATTATTACTGACATAGAAACCGTTTACTAAATTAATTACGTTTGAAGAAGACTAATGTATTTGTTCTGTGACTAATTTATCTTAATCCATAATAAATAACTCGTCTTTTACCATAAAAAATAATTTCCAAATGTAGAATTATTCCTAGATGAAGTAAAATTGTAAAATGTTGACTCAAAGTTTTGAAATTGTATTTTATTAAGACCTTATTCATAAACGACTCTCAAATCTAACTAATAAATAAATAAACTAAATAATATAATGACATCTGTCATTGGTCCAAATATTTCAGTTCGACCAATCACTAACTTTACTTTGACCAATGACAATCTAATCTTTTCTTGAATCCTAGATTCATATTTTGATCGTCGTTTGTATACGGCCCATAATCTATCTTTGTGTTCTGCACAAGTAGGTAGGTACTACTTATCTTTTTATCTTTACTTTTTTTCTATCTGTGTCTGTACTTCTATGCTTCTTTATTCTATGCTTCTTCGTGCCTTGCCTTTGCTTCGCTTCGTTGTTTCAAGTCAATCTTCCTTCTGTCCTTACCCTTTCCTCTGATCTTTTAACTGATGAACTGATGTTTTAATTGTGTATTAACTTTCTTATGTTCTTTTCAGCGATAATTAATAACTTCCACAATTAAATAATTTACTTATTTTCCTGTTCATTTACTAAAGACTTACTTTTTTCTTAGATTATGCAACTTTGGAATAAACAAATGTACTTATCTAACTAAATTTCAAACTTCATGGCGATGACTAATTTCCATATTGTGGATTACTTGTTGGGTAATTTTTCCTGACAAAACATGTATTTGAGAATTACACTCCTAAAATTAATTTTAGCCAGCCATCATTTACAAATAATATTTAAAACACATATTTCTATAGTCATAGAGCAGACAATTACAATATGACTGAGCTATAAGCGTAGTTCTACTTCAAATCATATTATTACTATACAAACTGTTCTTCATGGAGAACACGCTAAAAATCTGGGCCCATAATCAAAGTACATCGTTATTTGTCTTTTAGACCAGTGTCCAATACGATTGTTGGTGATTCCAGGCTACTTCCCTGCACACGAATACACTCCCAAGTTCGATTTCAACCCCATGGACTGTACCGATATCGTCATAGGCACCGCTAGAGGGAACTACCATCGTGTGCTGGACTATTACACTAGAGACAGGTAATGCTAGAGTCATCATCATCATCTCGGTCTATATTCCACTTTGATCACCTGGCTTTGATCACCCAGGTGATCAAAGCGACAAGACAGGTGGACTTCCAGCGACAATTTAGACTTTGATCACGCACGGATACGATGCCCTGGGTGATCAAAGTGGACCCCAGTTAAATTATTATTTTAGTGTCCTTTGATCTACGAGTAGATCCAGAGTTTACGTTCAATTTTAAACCATAATATCGGATACTATACCCTCGCCTCGCCCCCAAGTTCATAATAAACTAAACGTACCGTGATTTTTGGCCGTTTTCACAATCAATCTCTAATTTTTAAGTGACATGGTAACGCTTATCCGGAATTTTGTTTTTATAGGGGTCTCTTAAAAATTTTGATTAGGGATTGATGGTGAAAATCATCTATACAGGGTGGAAACGATAAGTGATCTCATTCGATTATTTCTAAACTATACAAGATATCGAAAAACTGGTTACTAATCTTGAAAGTGCTTCACAAGCTCTATCCAACGGTACCAATCTGGGGGCACGGCAGTGCCCCCGCCAAGTCGAGCGCGAAGCAAACACTGCCGTACCATCCTTTACTGGAACCATTTCGCCGCATTTTCAGGCCTCTATTTGAGAACCTTTAGATAAGACCAGAACGCAGAAATTTTCGTCATCTAGTAAGCTATAATCACACACTTAAAANTAGTTTACCCTTTTTCCTTCTTTTTAAGGTCGGATTAATGTAAAGTATGGGCCATAATTCTACTTACAAACCGTCCTTAACAATCCATTATTTCAATTTCGTTCAAAATTTTAACCGTACTGCCATCTAGTGTCGAGTAGCGGCACTAACTAGCGCCATCTAGTATTTCTCTTAATAAACAAAATTCACCTTTTTGACGTGCTATTCTTACTTTTCAGAGGCACCATGGAAGGACAAAAAGGTGAACTTAGGTCTTTACACGAAGAAGGAGCTTTCAAAGGAGTTCAATTTGTACTGGAGGGTGCTGAAGGATGAAGCGGAGATTGAGGTCATCATGATGGTTAATGGAACGTCGTATGCTGGTAAAAAAACTCATGAACCTAATTTATTTATGCAAGTAGGGTTTTAAAAAGCACTTTTACACGTCCCAGTATTAAACCTACCTCTGCTTCAGGACAATAAATGGGCCAGTGCTGAGAAGAAGCAGCGCAAGAAACGCAGTCACTATTGTTATTGCTTTTAAAAACGTTGAAAAATGTCTTGCCCTTTCTATTCATGTCTCTTTAGTCTAGTGGTTTGAAAGTTGACGTCTCTAGGTCCTAGCTTCGATTCCTAAATGGGTCAGAAAATGAATTCACTGTATTTTAGGCCAATTCATTTAAGTTTGAAGTGATATGTGATGTCCTATGTTCTTTTTTTAGGTTTGGGCTGGCGACCAAGTGGACTGACGAAAGAATGTAAAAACTTTCCAGTGTTGGGGCCTTCTATTGACGAAAAACGTAAGTTGAGTAAATGTTTTGAAGTACAGTCGACAGCATACCAAGCTACACTTTTTAGTTGACTTGCTTGACTGAAGGTCCTATGTCCCCTAGATGGGGCAGAGGGCGTCCACAACAGTCCTCCATCGCGTTCGGTCTTGAGCTTCTCGTTTGATCTCGCTCTAAGTCTTGCCGATCTTCTTCGCCTCGTCCGCTACAGTGCGCCGCCAAGTTTGCTTGGGGCGACCACGCTTGCGTTTTCCTTGGGGGTTCCAATCCAGAGCCTGCTTGGGGATGCACTTTTTAGTTACAAATAATTAATTAGAAAACTAGAAGCGATTGCGAATTTGCAATTTGTTACAAGATGAAAAAAAAGATCAAAACCATATCACGTTTTATCTGTATCGTTATTATTCTTATTTTAGAGAGTACGCCAAAACCAGAGCCGTTGCCCGAACCGGAGCCCAAAGCGGAACCGGAGCCGAAAGCGGAGCCAGAACCATCGGCTGAACCCGCGGCCGAACCAGCTGCCGAACCCGTGGCCGAACCCGCGGCCGAACCAGTGGCGAAGCCCGAACCGAGCGCCGAGCCTGAGCCAACGGCAGGTGAGAATATTTGAATTAAAATCGATTTATAACACCCACCCGATAATTAAAATAAAGGAAACCATAAGTACTAGAATAAAATTATTGAAAATAAAAATAAAAAACCCAACTGCGTAAAAATTAACTAAAAAGATAATCGTTCGTTTCAGCCAAATGACGTCCACTGCTGGACAAAGGCCTCCCCCAAGGTTTAAAAAGATAATAAAAACAAGAAAACTTAAGTGTTCACATATGCAGTCGGAGGCATCAACTACTAATTATTTTGTAGGTGATATGTAATTGATGCCTCCGACTGCATTTGTGAACGCTAAGTTGTCTTGTTTTTACCTTTTTAATTCATTTTTCGCAGTTGGGTTTTTGTTTTTTCAATAATTATTTTATTTTAATCTTTTTAGTTGACGATTATTTTAATTTATAGATTTGCTAATTCCGATCATGGTGAGTTTTGTTTGGGTATAGGGATTATCTTAATATCTTTCGAAAAATAAAACACCCTTAATCAAGTACATAATAGGCAAAAGCGAATCGTTAATTTTAGCTCGGTGCCCTCCCTGAACGTGATAATGTTTAAAAAATAGAATGAGAATAATTCAAATTCAATCTTATTTTAAATTTTTCACATTTTTAGAACCCAAACCCGAGCCAGAACCCACTTCTGAACCGGCGCCCGAGCCAGAAGCCACTTCAACTTCTCCAATAGAGAGCGACAACCGCAACAAGCGCGTGGCGATGCATTCACTAGATGGATTCGACTTCAAAAACTTGGGAAACGACGTCACTGTCAAGACGAGCATATCGTACAAAGTTTCTAGTTCTAAAGGTAACAAACACTTTTTGATTTAAAAATTATAAATAACTTGAAAAAAATGATTTGTAATATTAGTTACAAATATTCTTCTACTGATAAGTGATTATCGCCCGTATTCACAAACGTTACTTGACCTGTGCGTCCACGCGCACTATGAGACCTCATAGTAATGTTTGTGAATACGGGCGTATAGCTTTTTANTGTGAATTGTGTCAAGCATTAAATTGTCACCTACATATTGACGTCTTATTTATACCTAGATAAGAGTCCCTTAAGTGCACTGAGAGTATTATTCACCAGGTTTATTATAGCGTTTAACTGAGTAGGTTCCTGCAGCAGAAATCCTGCTGTTAGGGAGAGACATGTGACCTAATAGACCTATTTTGGCCGTTTGTTCCCAACCAGTCACACCGAAACGTGTAACACTGTTACTCGTTGGGAAAAAAATCTCATCGAGTCACACTAATCAGCCTGTATTAGGACATTTTTGTTTACGTTTCTGCCCAACGGTTCACACATTAAAATACCTTTAGCCTAAAAACTGTGCAGTAAATTAAAAAAAAATATTTTAAATGACACCTAGAATTTAATATTTTTTTTCTTTTTTGGACTGTATGTCCAGAAATATCTTTTTAAGGCGAGAGTGAATAGGCACTTACAGGGCAGATAAATGTACCATCCTAGACTGTATCCCAGTATTCCCAGTTAACATCGGTGCGATTGTGGTCAAATACCTGCTTTTGTTATGCATAAAAAAATAGAGTTAGTTAGGTTAGGTTAGGAATATTAGCAAAATGTCACGGTCTTGAAACATTTATAGGGCCTGTTCTACACAAAACATGTCGGCAATATAATTTATAGTGTCACCCAGTTACCTACTAAATGTTCTTCACGCATTGAAATATTATCGTACATACTTCGAAACAGCAATAAAACGGCCATAAAAACTATTATTTTATTTATTTATTTATTTATTTTATTTATTTATTTAGAAACTCAACAGCTGTTTTACAATATTCATGTTAGTTTGATGAGCATTAAATCTAAGCCAATTAAAGAGTTTCCTAGCTGTTTAAATTAGTTCGTACATTATTACATTTTATCAGGTAATGAGTACCAATAAGCGCTGCATCCTCAACCATGCCTAAAAATAATAATCATGATTGAACATGCAGCGCTCAGGTTATACAATCTTAGTGTAATTAAATTTAAATATAAGTAAATTTGGGTAAATTATTACAACCCTTAAGACATCAAAACAATTAAATATTAATTAGGCAGACCTTAAATGTCCCTAGTTATATATATTTATATCCCACAATAACGTGATCACTGAGTTAGGTAGGTATAAGATGCACCGTGTGGTCAGAACACATAGATAGGTATATTAGGATTTCTAGGAACCCGGCGCATTAACTTGTAAAATAATATGTCTCATTTCCTTCTTCAGTGTACTCTTACTCACATTAAAGAAATCAATGTGTTTATACTTAGAGTTGTATGTTTTATGCAAACGAGTCATAACACTGTTCTGGGCATAGTTGGTACGATGCTTGGGTATGGCCAACAGCGGGGTGTGTCTAGTCCGAAATTTAGGTGTACAGAAGCTGATCATCGATAGAAGATTGGGTGAGTCTAGATTGCCTCGCAGAATGTCGTACAGTAGGCACATGTCAATAATGTCGCGTCGAGATTCAAGAGGTAATAGATTGAAATGGCCACAGTCTTTTACATAGCCCTCGCGACGCCGTGATTGCTTAAAGTTTAGGTGGTTAACGAACAATTTCTGAACTTTTTCAAGACTAGTTTTATATTTAGCGTATTGAGGAGACCAGATGGGACTAGCGTATTCCAAGATGCTACGACAGTATGCGTAATATACAGATTTCAAACTTTGAGGGTTTTTAAACGCCTTACAAATTCGCATTGTGAAGCCCAGATTACGGAAAGCTTTATTAACTATGTAATCTATGTGCTGTTTGAACAACATTTTTGAGTCAAGATAAATGCCCAAGTCTCTAACAACGGAAGTTCTCTCTATTATCATGTCATTAAAGCTGTATGGGTATGTCAAAGTTTCCTTTTTACGGCTGAAGCTAATGCATTGGCACTTGCTGATGTTGACTGTGATTTTATTATCATTATAGTATTCCTGTAGTCTATTCAAATCGCTTTGCATCTGTATGCAGTCATTAATTGACGATACCCTCGTAAAAACCTTTTTATCGTCAGCGTAAAGTAGGTGATTGGAATTTTGAAAACACTTATTAATGTCGTACACATACGCACAGTAAAATAAAGGGCCAAGATGCGAACCCTGCGGTACACCGGATGGAACCTGAACAAAGTCAGACTTAAAACCACCCACCACAACTGCTTGAGACCTGTTCGTTAGGTAAGATTTAACCCACCTGAGCAAATCCCCACGGATTCCTAATTCGAATAGTTTGCTGAGTAGGATGACGTGATCCACCCGATCGAAAGCTTTTTCAAAATCGGTGTAGATCACGTCAACCTGACCGGCGCTCTCCATACCGCTCAGCACATAGCTGCAGAATTCAGCCAGATTTGAGGTGGTAGATTTACGCCTCAAGAAACCATGCTGATGGTGTGATATACCACTTGTAACTGTAGAGTAAATACTGTTGTATACAATTCTTTCAAGGAGTTTACTTAGTGTATTTAAAATTGAGATGGGCCTATAATTAATAATTTCTAATTTTGAAGATTTTTTGTGGATCGGAACAATGTGGGCTTTTTTCCAGATAGTTGGAAAAACCCCGCTGCATAATGATAATTGAAACAGTAAATATACGGGATAGCACAGAACATCAGCGCAACGACGAAGAAACACCGGCGGAACACCATCACAGCCAGCCCCCTTGCTCACGTCAAGAGTTTGAAGCATGATTTTAAGTTTGTCTGGTGAGACGCTCGTAGTAGCTATCACATCTGTGACGGTGTCCCGCTCAACGCTATCTATTAGATCTACATCATTCGACGAGCCATTAGAAAACATTTTTTGGAAAAAGTCGTTGAAGCCATTGCAAATGTCGGAACCATCCACGAGTGTATCTCCTAAGTAAGTGAACTGCTTCGGATACTGAGAGCCGCCTCTTCTGGATTTAACAAACGACCAAAAAGCTTTCGGGTTGATCCTAATATTGTTTTCAGTGGCTTTTAAGTAACTATTATAGCATTCTCGTTGTACTGTGCGTTCACGGCTGCGTAGCATAACAAATGTGTCGTAATCACGTGGGTTCCCATAGCGTTTCCATTTTTTATGAATTTTACCCTTTTCGCGTATGATTTTAATTAAAGCTATATTATACCAGGGAGGATATTTGCTTTTGAGACCATTTACTTTTATCGAAGGGATGTAATTGTCAAAACATTCGTATATTATTTTGTAAAACTTTTCCAAGGCCTCATCAATCGTTGCATTACTAAACAAATTATCCCAGTCTACCTTATTTAGGTAGTTGATTATGGCTGGATAGTCACAAGTGTGGAAATTGCGGCGCGATGTCGATTGTTCTTGAAAAGGTGTGATAAACAAATCTGTGATGCAAACGTGCAGCGGTGGGTGGTGTCTATCCTCAATGCTCAAAAGAGACGTTGCCCTAGCAACCACAGAGTTCAATGTACAAAACACCATGTCGAGACAGCGTCCCCTGTCGTTGGGAATGTAATTAAATTGCCTAAAGCCCAGGTAGTTCATAGTTCCAACAAACTCAGATGCCGCGTCCTGCAAACCCGAAACAACATTATTAAGTAACATTGGATGGCCATTACGCCACTCAAAGCAAGGCAAGTTGAAGTCTCCCGTTAATAGATATGTGTCACTAGGATGCTCCTGGGTTAGTTGCATAAGAAATGACTTAATTTCGTCTAACTGTGCTGGGATATTTGAATAATCGGGCGGTAGGTACACTAGAATTATGTGTAAATTGCTATTTGTACCAAGGGTGCGCGCGGGCACGGTGACACATTGTAACTCTGTGTAAGTTTTAGAAGAAAAATTGTTAACGACTTGAGGACTGAGATTACTCTTTATGCAAGTCATGACACCGCCTCCTGACCTTTTATTTGTTTGAGACAGATCACGATCCGCTCGAAAAACGTCGTACCTGGTATCGCAGAGCTCGGCGCTAAGGATATCGTCCTGAAGCCAAGTCTCAGTGAATAACAAGATATCATAATCACTGCAAGAGATACTATTATATATTTCCAAACACTTGGTCCTGAGACCTCGCACATTTTGATAAAAAATTGTTAGATTATCCGCGGATTTATTCACGTTGAGTGTAAGTGGTCAAACCCTATGAACAGACTACACTGATTATACTTTAAAATAAGAATGTGAAATTGAAAAACGGTGCCACGGCGGCCCGTCAATAAAACAGGGCTGTAGTCAGCAATATTTACCATTAGTAAGACGCCTACCCCAGGTATGCAATAAATTATATTTTGGTAAGAATAGTAAAAGAAAATACACACATCACAAACAGTGGCCATTGGTAGTGAAACGCACTGATTAATCGAGCCATAACCTACCTTCATACAAACGCGTTCATGTATGTACCCGTGTGAGATAGTATTGTGTATGTAACTATAACGAGTATGTGGTAATATGCTATGTTCAGTTTTTTGTATAAAAAAAAGACTGTATAGCATTGCCGTGAGAAGACCATGTTTGTGCGCGGTTACCGTCTCGCATAGGTATGGTTTGGTTTTAGGAGACGCATAAACACCATCAAGTGAATAATAAGCTGGCCGGCTACTCATGTGTATTGTCATGGTTGACTTAGTTTGACAGAATGACTCACACACCAAATCAAATAAAAATGCAAGCGACAGCCCATTGCGAATTAAGTTTAAGTATACGCCCGTCGTTACTAACCTGTCCATCACAATTACAGCCGTCCCGTTCGCTCCATAGTAATAATAATTGTAATAAGAGCCCAGCTGTAGCACCAAAACAGTGTGGGACACAATATTAATATCTGTAATGTGAGTAAGATAACTTATTTTACATTCGAATGAACTCACAAATATTGAGTATTGTGCAAAAAATATAGTTAAGTTTATACCAGAATACAACACACAACAACATCCCTTAGGCCTGCATTTAGCAGAGATAGCACTCTGTAAATTACAGCACACATAAAATATTGCACCAAATAAATATAATTCCTTTTTCATATGACAAATATGGCAAATATCCAAACAAATATGCACATCCGCATAATGAATATATACAATGTGACCAAGATAACAAATTTTACATTCGAATGAACTATCAAATATTGAGTATTGTGCAAAAAATATAGTTAAATTGTTGCCAGAATACATTACACGACAGCGTCCCTTAGGCCTGTATTTAGCAAAGATAGCACTCTGTAAATTACAGCACACATAATATACTACACCATATAAATATAATTCCTTCCTCACATGACAACTATCCAGATAAATATGCACATCCGTATAATGAATATATGCAATGCGACTAAGATAACACATTTTACACACGAATGAACTATTCATTGAGTATTTTGCAAAAAATGTAGTTAAATTGTTACCATAATACATTACATGACAGCATCCCTTAGGCCTGTATTTAGCAAAGATAGCACTCAGTAAATTACAGCACACATAATAATATACTGTACCATTCAAATGTAATTCCTTTATATTATGACAACAATGGCAAGAAATAAGTAACCACCGAGAAACAATAGTTAGCAAGAGTCACTGTATTTTATCAAGTGCAGAGGCGTTACGGATAAAGATAGCTTCACTTGTTTCGTTTTTTCTCATATAGATTCTTCCCGCACGAACCCACACAAACTTGAAGTTTAACTCCTTGCCGCGTTGCCTGGCAGCGGCATGAAGTTGCTTATTCTCGTAGGACAGGCTTTCCAAAACAAAAACAGGTGTCTTATTCTCGGGGTTGAAGCCAAAATCCGCTGTGCTTAGCTTGTTCTGCGGGTTTTCCTTGTTGTATCGTGAGACCGCAGACAACACGGTGTCACGCAGTCTAGGTGAACTGAGTTTAGCAATAATTGAGCGTGGTCTAGTGCTGTTGGGGTTAATCTTGGCTATCCGAGAGCAGTAGTGTATGTCTTGGTCATTAATAGTGCAGTTAACGGTGCGCCCCAGCTGTTTGACAATTTGCAGAACATTCTCAGTTTTTTTGTCAGGAACACATTGTATTTCTAAGGTCGAGGCGCGCGATAGTTGGTCCAATTGCTGTAATTTACCGCTGAGACTGTTCACTTCTGTGCGTAGACAAGCATTTTCTTTCTTTAGAGTGATTATTTCTTGTTGTTGTTGCTGAAGTCCCTCGGTCATTTTGTCAAACTTATCACTCATAAACTCGATTGACGTATTGAGGTTAGTAATTCTCTCAGAAAATGTGCTGAGGGTGGACCTTAGTTCAGCATTATTTGTCTTCATGAGGTTTAGCATTTCTTCGCGCAGCAGTTCTCTGAGCTCGGACCGTCGTATGTAGTCATCTTTGTTTGTTGGAACACTTAACTCCGACTTGCCTGGTGCTTTGCGTCGAGTGACGTTGAACGAAATCTCAGCCTGCGCCGTAGGTGTAGACGGGCGTGCAGGATGTGCAGAATTGTCGACTTTCGGTTGTTTACTCATGCATAGTGGGCACAGCCACTTCGTGGTCGCATCTGGAGTAAGACCTTGCTGCATATTGAGACACAAGAGGTGATAAACTCCGTCGCATTTCGAGCATTCAATGTAGTCCTCATTGTTTACGTCTAAATTACACGCCGAGCAAGTCTTCATTTTGTGGGCGCACGTAGTAAGAAAGAGAGAGCAATAAAATAAAACTTTGAAAAGATTTAAGAGGGCGTCGGTCCGGAATACATAATGATTTGCATATGAAGGTGCTCGTGGAAAATATACGGGATTAAGTATGTTAAACTCGTTCCAGTTTGTGAAGTGCCTAGGTAGGCTGACTAGGTAGTCAACTTTGTGTCTAAAATATCCTCGTTCTAACTTGAAATTAAAATTAAAATTGTTGATGGAAAATTTCAGAACGCGACATTTTTAAAGTACCTACATAGTAGGTTCACTGTTATGAGTGCTTAAAGCTTGACGTTTTGGCTATGTTTTTACAGCCATGGTTTTAACAAAATTGGATTTTTTAAGTAGACTATCGTTATGCGGAGTGACGTTGTGAACTTGTAGGTCGGTGTCATAAATATCAATGTTAAATACTATGACGTGAAACGTCATACAAATTATAATTAACAAATAGGGTTTCTGCTCGAGCTTTCTCGAACTCGAGAAAACTCGAGAAATTTGGCTTCATTCGAGACGAGAAAAAAATTAATGGAGCTCGAGAATTCTCGAGTCTCGAATTTGAAGCTTTAATATTCTTGAAAGCCTATTTTCTTAGACAAAAGTAAGATTTTAATTATTTAATAGGTTAACGTTGCTTTTAGACTGGTCTAGTCTTTCCTTTTTTACCCGACTGCGTGACGCAAAGGAGTGATAATGTGTTCAACAGCCTATGTATGTATGATTTTGAAGCACTATAGAGATCAAACTCCTGGGTCGATTTTTATGATTCGCTCGCACGTCAATCGATTCCTCTCAGTCCGGCGAGTGTCACTAAAGACTATCGTTAGATTTGTTTTAACTGAAAATATATTACATGGCCGATTTTTGGCGCTATAATATGTATTAAACAAATATCTCAAAACCTATCTAGTGGGGTATCAAAATAAAGGGTTTTTAAATAGCTTGCAAAATGTATGTTCTTTAACTAAAAGATTAAAATAAAAATATTATTGAAAAAAAAAAAACAAAAACCCAACTGGTTAAAAATGAACTGAGAAGATAGAAACAAGTCAGTGTTCACAAATGCAGTCGGAAGCACCAAACACTTATAATCATCATCATCAACAGCCCTTTACAGTCCACTGCTGGACTATGAGCCTCCTCCGCGACAAATGTATTCTATTCTGCCGTCACCACACGGCTTATCACCCACTACTTATCACCAACAAAAAAAAATAGTCATTGATGCCTCCGACTGCATTTGTGAACACTTTGTCTTGTTCCTATCTTTTCAGTTCATTTTTACGTATTTGGGTTTTTGTATTTCTTTGTATATTAGATTTAAAAAACCTGTGTTTTTAGCAAATTTCAATCGATTTCAACAATTTTAATTAAAAGACTCGAGACCCGAGAAAACTCGAGACTTAGGCCTCGAGAATTCCCGAAACTCGAGAAAAAAAATAGGTCGAGAAATCAGAAACCCTATTAACAAAGCTGCATAAAATTAAATATCGGCACCTAAAGTGTATTAACAGCTAAGCTACAATACAAACTCAACACACATGAAGTTCGGTAACAGTAAGTGAAGTTTCGGCGAAATGTGCTATTAATTATTATTGTTGTTAATGTGCAGAATATTCAGTTGGCACGTAGCAGCCCTGTTTTGATAATTAATTTAGTTATCAACTTATTTCAGCTTTAACACTTCATAATAACAATATCAAACTATTTAATCTGCCTTTTATTTTGAATGAATTTTAATTTATGTGTAAAATTGGTTGAAAGGCGAAGTACCTACTAAAGAGTAAGAGTTCTTGTTAAAAACCCAACAACAAAAAGGTTTATTCATTTTAACTCACTTTTTTCAATCAGACTTTTGTTTATAATGAATTTATATTTGCTCCTTTGTGTGTAAAATTGGTTAAATAGCGAAGTGTTATAAATAAGAGAATGTAAGTAAAATCCCAATAACAAAAAGGTTCATTCATTTTAACTCACGCTTTTCAATTTAATTTCCACTTCATGTCCAGTTTTTTGGATATTATAACTCTTTGTAGTAAAATCGGCCGACCGTTTTAGAACGTAACACGGTCAAATTAGTAAACGACATACCTATACTTAGGCTGAGTTGCCCCACTTACCTTTAAAACTAACTATAACGATAACCGGTGCTTTTTGTATGGAGTTTGACAGATTTTGAAAGTTTCTTAAAGTTAAAAAAAGATGGTGCAACTCAGCCTAAATGTCACTCTAAAGCAGTCTACACACCAAAAACGGCGACCAGCCGGTAGGTATAAGTTCTTTTTTCTTCGTTCTTTTTATGTTCTTTTGAAATAAAGCTTTCGGGCTCAGTGTGTAGAATCCTATATGTGCCTCCTTTCTCCCTTCTTCCCCGAAGCGTTAGGGTAGATTCTCTCTGAGAAATTGGTTCCCAAAATCTTCGCTTCGCAAATTGGTCTATCTAAAGTGCGAAATCCAGTGAGGCTCAGACCGCACGTCGGAAAATCTAGGCTTTATCGCTTGAAGCAAACGGAGCGTTACGCTCGTCAGAGAGCGTGGTCGCAAACTCGCAAACCCAGCGTGGACTGTGGACGTATCACATAGCTTTCATTGTACATACATATCTCTTACCACAATGTAAAAGCTCCTAGGTATGTAGGTAAAGCTTACGTAAGTTAGTTAATTCATATTGTTACGATCAACTTTTACGTTCATAGAACAAAAGTTAAAATATTTGTTTTATTCACTCAGACGTATTCTTTGCGTATGTTTCCCTTTTCTCTTCAATTTGGGTTGCATGTTTGCATATTCATTTGTTTTTTTTTTATACGGCGCTGCTAGTTTTACGAGTATTATGCGACCAGGCCTACCACTTACTGTTGAAAAGATTCTTAAATTGATAACTTGTACTTAACCCAAACACCTACTGGTTCGTTCGTTCGTTTCAGCCAAATGACGTCCACTGCTGGACAAAGGCCTCCCCCAAGGTTTTCCATGATGAACGGTCCTACTGGTAACCAACTATAAAAGTAGAAAAAACTAAAACTATTTCATAACAGATACTTAATACCCAACCGAAATGAATAATATGCTATTTACGGGTAACTCCTTGTCTTCTTGTTAATGTAATAATCTGTGCAGATTCGAGATATGCCGTTTCCAGGAAATATACCAAGAATATTCCAGGTTTCGATCTATTAATTATTTTAACAAAGTAGTCTTGTAGTTCCGTGGAATCAGTGAGTCTGTATCTACTCAGAAGTAGGACGTAAACTGGCTTTATTTTGTTTGCTTGTCTGGGAATTCCTTGTTTTACTTCCCGGCATTATTCTATTTATAGACTACCCTATATAATAATTTCTAACTATGTTATCGACTTTCGATAACCAAGTACCTAGCTGGTCTCAGAAATGGAGTGCCTTCGTATAAGACATTAATACTTTTTATCATTTATTCCTGAATGCATGCGATTTTTATGTGTTTTTTTTAGTTCTTCACTTTATCTGCTATTTCGATTCTAGGTGCTATTCGTTCGGGTGGTCTAAGTGGACTACTTCTGTTGTATATCGTAACAAAATCCAACTAATCTTACTAATATTATAAATGCGAAAGTTTGTGTGGATGTCTGGATGTCTGGATGTATGGATGTTTGTACTCTTTCACGCAAAAACTACTAAACGGATTTTGATGAAACTTTACAGTATTACTGTTTATAACCCAGAATAACATATAGGCTATAAGTAATTTATGACGATCTGTGACAAACTAAATTTCACGCAGGTGAAGCCGCGGGCAAAAGCTAGTGTGCTCTAAATGTCTTATTTACAACTTAATGTATTTCAACAATGTCTCCAGCCAATATATTGTTTTATCTGTATTTCAACCGACTACACTGAAGTCTCGTAGGCTCTAGTTTCATGAATGATTTTCCCATGTTACGTCAAAATGAAGCTAGCCAAATAATGCAAATAGTACCTAAGGATCTGCAAACTTCTGGCGAATCGAGTACACATAAACCTCCATATTACAAAAAGTTAGACTCTGGTTGAACTCTGGTTTAAATTGTAATTTTTTAATTTTTTTTATGCATAATAAGGCAGATGTTTGACCACAATCTCACCTGATGTTAAGTGGGATACAGTCTAGGATGGTACATAATAATATTATTTGCTCTGTAAGTGCCTATTCAGTACGGAAATATCATTTTAAGCCAGTGTTCGTCTCGGGTTTAACTTTTTTGTAATAAAGTCCCAAGTGTTTGAAAGTGTGCATTCAGTTTTCACACGCACACAGACGTGATAATAAAATATCATTTTTTATCCTCCTACTTATATTGTAGATTTTCTTTTCTCTCTAATTTTGTTACTCACCAGAGCTACTAGGCGCGCAGGTGTAGTTCCCAGAGTCCCTCGGCGAAGCGCGCGCGATCAACAGACGGCTTGTGCGCGTGCGCTGCTCAGTCTCCACGCTAATGCCTCCTCGCTGTGCGTAGTTCACCACGTGCGGCCCGCGGTACCAGTAGATGAAGCTGTTGGAAATAAGTGTCTTATTCAAGGGACAGTAGTCTTTGTGGCCGCGATTATAGAGCTTTATTTCATATTCATTGTTGGCATCTTATATCTACGTTTTAACCAAAGGTCCAAGTGGTGGACAGAGACCTCTCGGATTCTTAACTCCTATAACGGCTAGTCCTACGAAAATATACAGACCGTGGTAAATGCAGACGTATCAGCTTGCTATATAAACAACCTCTTTGTCATCAAATAATATCATCATTGTTGTTTGTAATAGAATACCTACATAATATTTTTATAGAACAAATAATATTTGAAACCCTAGCAGGGGTGGTAAACTTGAAAGGCAGAGCATTAGTAATTCCAAATGAATAAAGCATTCGCTTAAATATGCTTATACTGTAAAATTCAAAGACATTAGAGAACATTATGATCGCATTAGGGTAAGGGCACAGATGCAAAGAGAAATAAAAATTCGTAATAAAACCCCTCCTTATTCCCTGAAAATACACGTTAATGTAACTGCGTACATTATTCAGTGAGAGACGTATCCTGGGAGAGTACCAATAGCGAGTCAAAGCTGTTTCTAGTTTTTGGTGTGAACGCTGCCAAAATACAGGTGAAAAATCTTTGGAAGCGCTGTCGAGGGACATTGATTAAAAAAGTTCGGAAAAATGCCCGTCGGAACATATGCAACAATGTTTTAACTTCCCGCCATCTGAAATGTTCGGAATTTTTTAACCAAAATATCTGAGGTGAAAAAGGGTGCAATGTTTGTGACCACATTGAAAAATACACGAATTTATTAGATGACTAGCCGCCCGCGACTACGTACGCGTGAACCCCGTTTTATTCCCTTAGGTGTTGAATTTTTAAAATTCTGTATTAGTGATTACCTCCGTGCTAAATGGAACCCCCATGCAAAAATTTGAGATTCCTAGCACTTGTAGTACCTATCTGAGATTTTCCATAGTTCGATTTGAAACTGAATTTAAAATGGTACGACCAAGTGAGTGCCACAGTGTTTGTGAGAAAGTAAATAAAAGGAGTACGGCGTTCCTGTCGCACTAGGGCTGTAAATTCTGCCGGTTTTAAAATGCTGTTTTGCGAAACAGCGCCGTTTTGTAAAACGAATCTAGACGTAGTTGGATTAGAAAAAGTCTGCACTAACATACGCGCCATTTTGGAATGACATTTGCGCGGCACGACCGACGTAGTGGTTTCAATTCTGTTCGGGATTTCGGATTTAGATTCAGATTGGCATTATAAATGGGCTCTTAAAATCACCCTCTTCTGTTTTATGATGAAGATTCTTAACTTATTTCCTAACAAAATGCATCAACATTGATTAAGTCGTTTAGACGACAAAACGTGACAAGCAGCCAGATAGTTACTTTCTCCTTTATAAATACTGTAATAATAATAAATGTTGATCCAATAATATTTACTCTATGTCGATATTCCAAGGTTAAACATAGAAATTCCGATTCCTAGAATGTCTACGTTAATGATACGTCTCGTCTAGATAATTTATTGTGACCCCAGCTGACCCACGACCTTTCTTACTGCTCTTAAGTACATATTAATGAATCCATACAATCCGAATGAGATAATACAGAGTAGCGAAAATATACAAATGGTAGACGCTAAAGCAAAAAATAATAATTTTCGTCTTGTTATTTACTTAAGTTATTTTCATCACTCTATTTGCCACCAGCGGAAATCAAACCCACAAATGCACGTATCTAAACCACTAGATACCGTCGTAGGTTATCGTCAAACGAAAAAAGGGTAAAGTCGCGGTTTTCCGTACTTCTCGATTATTTCAAATGCATGAAATATCATTTCAATTCTGTATCCATTCAGTTGAATTGATTTCAATATGCTCGTGTGATAGTTACTTGGCAAATTGAAACGTGAATTATTGTGAACTCAAGTGCTTAAGAAGGGACATACGCGTCTATTTATGACGTGTTGTGACATGACGATTACAATTTCATGGAATGAAAATAATATTATTAATACTGGCAATATTTTGCTATTTTAATATTCGCAGCCTAGAGACAAATATTATGATGCTTTAGTCTTAAGTTTTCAGTCGTCTGATAACTTAAATAAATAATTGACATTTGGACAGTTTTTCAATCCAATACATCAAAGTCAATTTTATTTATTTGGCCTTTGAAATAGGGCTAGACTACTTTAATCAGATAACCCCAATAATCAATAACCCAATAACATTCAACTCGTATTTCACAATTTTGCAGCTGACACAAAATAAATAATTGAAAACCTATACATTTGACATATAAAATAAGCTAATTGATTGACTTACAAACCGGTCGAGTTAACTGCGTACCTGACAGTCTTGACGTCAATTATTTATTTTGTGTCAGCTGCAAAATTGTGAAATACGAGTTGAATGTTATTGGGTTATTGATTATTGGGGTTATCTGATTAAAGTAGTCTAGCCCTATTTCAATAGCCAAATAAATAAAATTGACTTTGATGTATTGGATTGAAAAACTGTCCAAATGTCAATATCATCATACGGGTAAGCGGGAGGAAGAGTCGCATTCCAGCAAGGTGAGCAGTTAGCTCGATCGGTTTGTATTCTGGTGATTTAACAAGAACGAACAGCTTAAATTGCATTTATGGTGTATTTTTGACTTACCTAGGAGGGTCAGGGGCGTGTCGGGCTATGCAGGTCAGGTTGATATCTGAGCCAGCTCGCACGAAGAGCTCAGGTCCTGACAGGATCTCCGCTTTTGATACTGAAAGTAAGGAACCAGGTTAAAAAGTGAAGAGGGATATTGGATCTTTGGGATCGGGGTCTTTGTCGGCATCATCATCATCATCAGGTATATCTACTACAGGAGCACGACTCTCTATTAAAAAAGTTTTTAAATTATTTTGAACTGACCTTTCTATTGCAGGTAATAGAATATTTACCTTCACCGCAAAAACTGTCAGTTTTACTTACGCTCAAATTAAAATTTAACTACGATTCCTCCTCCACTAATACATACTCATTCATTATGCGAGCTTGTGTTCTCAGTATAACATAATGTGCGATTCAATATTCAGGATTGTTAGAAACGTATCGCGTATTACTTATGCATGCCGAAGTTAATTGATTTAGATTGATGTTTGTAGTGGGAACCTTTAGGATTTGTAATTAATTACGTAAAGGATTTCATTAAAAGTAACCTTTACGTCTAAATGGATCTGACAGAGTAAAAGAGAACAGAACCAATTCCATTCTTGGACACTTTCCCCATAGGACAAATGAAGTAAAATTAGGCCTTCCCAACTCGTCAAGGAAGCGTTAGGAGTCCTCCATTCATCGTCATCATAATTTCAGCCAAAGGACGTCCAGTGTCCACTGCTGAACATAGGCCACCATTTTCCTCTGGCAAAATACTACGATTAGACTTGATGATAACGATGAGTCTTAAGTTGATTTTCATGCAGAAATGGCACCAATAATGGAATTAGAACTTACCAACTACAGTCAGCCGAAAAGACAGGCTTATCTTTGGCTCAGTGGACACTTGGCACTCGTAGCCGCCAGAGTCACGGGGCTGCGCCGGCGCAACGCGCAGCGTCCACTCGTCAGAGCCATCTGTGTGGAGCGCCGCGAACCGCGCGTCACTGCTGTACGTGTGCACCCCCACTGTCAGAATGTGGAGGTCGCGTTTGCGGATCCAGGATACCTGTGGAAGAATGTTATTAAATTAGCAATATTTTTTTTCAGTGGACTATTTAAATAAATAAAAAATAACATGTTCCAATTCACTGTCTAAAAACAGTTTGACCTCCTCTGGCGGTCAAGCTGTACTTAGATCCTGGCTACACAGGAGTTGCAGTGGTGGAAACGAGAAGTGTGAACAGTCCCGTTTGGGACAACGAAACAGTGTCCTGGATGCTGTATGATGCCGGAGGCTGCATTTCTTATAAATAATTGCTTACGTACGAGCTATGAAACCTGGTGTAAACTCTTTTAATATTTGCGTTTAATTAAACTTAAAGTTCTTTCTACCTATGTATTGTCTAAAGCTATTATGGCATTTGCGCGTATGTCTGACGCGCAACTTACATAAAACGAGCTTTTTCACGCTTGAAAAACGCTAATTTTGTAAGAGCTTTGAATGTCAAGGCGACTTTATTTCATTAGCCAATTCCAAGTAAATAGGATTACTTAGTCCTTGATGAGAACTCAATTATTGGAATGCCAAGAATTCAATAGGTACTAGCTTATTCTGTGTAAGTAATATTAAAATAATTTACAAAGGTGTTTATGTTGTATCCACTTCACAACAAATTATTGTAAAAGGAAAAAATAACTTAAAAGATTTTCATAAATTTTTAAAAACTAAAAATTACATCGTATTTTTGTAAAGTTACAAAAACAGACTGTTATTTTGTGTTTTGAAAATTTTTGTGTTTCCAATACCATAGTGTGTCCTTACTTGTATAGTGTTAAGTTAATAATCCTGTCGCGTTTGTACCTCGTTTATAACACAAAAAAGTATTTTAGGTGTTGTTCCGTCATCGTAACTTTTCGTTTAATTTTCATAATAATCGCGGGTATCGATGTCTCTGCATAAGTATCAATGTAGTGACAAAACGCAGTCAAACTAGGCTGCTTATGCGCTCCGTCCTTCGAGTTGGATTTTTATTGACAACTTGAGGGCAGTCACGCTTTGGAGGCCGCACCGGTCACATCGCCATCTTCTATTCGTATCTAACGGGCCCGTCGACGCGTGTGCTAGTCACCCTCCCATGTGATCTCAACTTACCTCATCATCTACACGCCCAAATGTGCTAGAAACCGAAGGAATTCCCAACTGCTGTTACCCAAACTCGAGGTGGAACTGTCAACGATCTACTCAAGGTACGTGAGTGCATAGTATTTTGTCATTGCGTACTGCTCGTACAGAACATCGATCCCTTTTTACCGGCAAGCCTTCTACGGTTTGATCCAGGTGTAGCAGGAAGCCACCAATCGCCTTTTAATCGTGGTGCGTTTGCTACATCCTTTTTGGTGCCGAAACCCGGGACAGTTTCCACCTAGCACCTGTAAATTGTACTGTATCGCGTTCCAAATATCGTGGTATTTCTGGTTAAAATACTTGGCAATTAGTAAAATCTATTCATTTCATTCAAGGTTCAGTGTCTCTTGACCAAGCGGAACCCTCGCCGTTGAAGGTTCTCGGCCTTAAATGGGACCCTTCATCCGATTCTTTTCTTTTCTCAGTAAAACCTGAAATTAAACCGTGCACAAAACGTTCTATTCTAAGCGAACTCGCTCGGATTTTTGATCCCCTAGGCTTTCTTTCACCAATCACAATCCAAGCTAAATGCTTGATCCAAAAACTTTGGATTCTCGGTGTAGATTGGGACGAAACGCCACCTATCGAAGTCGTCCGTTCATGGACTTCTTATTCCGATCAACTTCCGAATCTTACTCGTCTTCGTACACCACGAAAACTTAATCCGTTTATCGACGACTTTGGTTGCCTCAGGGTGGGCGGTAGACTTTCACGCTCAGGGCTGGAGTATGATCACAAACATCCTGCTCTGGTACCCTCAGATCATTCGCTAACTGATCTAATACAAATAAAAGCGGCTAAAAGTCATTCATATCGGGTCGTTGGCGATCAAGTCTTAACTTTTGAAGAGCTGACGACACTTTTCGTACAAATCGAAGCCATTTTAAATTCGAGACCGTTGTGTCCCGTAAGTGCTGATCTCAGCGATCTGTCAGCATTGACACCAGGTCATTTCTTAACGTTAGAACCGTTAACAGCGGTCCCCGATGAAGATCTTTCTTCCATTAACATTAATCGGCTTCATCGGTGGCAGTTGTTGCAATCTTTCCATCAGAATTTCTGGTCCAGATGGAAACACGAATACCTTAACTCTTTAACGCAACGCGCTAAATGGACGAAAGATTCAAAACCATTGGCTGTAGGATCGATGGTCATCATTAAGGATGACAATCGAGCGCCGTTACACTGGACCCTCGGTAGGGTACAGCAGCTCATTGCTGGAGCTGACGGAATCGTTAGAATCGCCATGGTTAAAACTGCAACCAATGACTTGATTCAGCGTCCATTGGTTAAGTTATGCCCTCTGCCAATCGAGGCCTAACTTAATTTCAATCTCGTATCGTATTCGTATCAAATCGTTTTTCGTAAACTTAGTTTTAGTTTTATCAATAGTTTATCGTATACATATATCGTTTATCAGTCTTAGCGTTAGTTATTAACCAGAAAATACCATAGATATTTTGGTGGGCGGGATGTTCCGTCATCGTAACTTTTCGTTTAATTTTCATAATAATCGCGGGTATCGATGTCTCTGCATAAGTATCAATGTAGTGACAAAACGCAGTCAAACTAGGCTGCTTATGCGCTCCGTCCTTCGAGTTGGATTTTTATTGACAACTTGAGGGCAGTCACGCTTTGGAGGCCGCACCGGTCACATCGCCATCTTCTATTCGTATCTAACGGGCCCGTCGACGCGTGTGCTAGTCACCCTCCCATGTGATCTCAACTTACCTCATCATCTACACGCCCAAATGTGCTAGAAACCGAAGGAATTCCCAACTGCTGTTACCCAAACTCGAGGTGGAACTGTCAACGATCTACTCAAGGTACGTGAGTGCATAGTATTTTGTCATTGCGTACTGCTCGTACAGAACATCGATCCCTTTTTACCGGCAAGCCTTCTACGGTTTGATCCAGGTGTAGCAGGAAGCCACCAATCGCCTTTTAATCGTGGTGCGTTTGCTACAGGTGTCGTCACATATTAGATACTATTTAATATCTTGTCATACATAATAAGCGCTTCGCATAATGTTAAAAATAGCTGAATTACCTTTCTGCTCAATATCTGAATACGGTACCCTTTCCAATAAGGCTTCGTCATCCTGATATTTTCATCACGTTCTGTGAGACAGATTCCCGTAAAAGAACCGAGTGGAGCGTGCAAGAAATATGAGAGGACACATTTAAGTGTGCCCAGCTACGTGACGCGACAGTAACGTGATTATGACGCGATTGGCGATTGATATAGCAAGATTCTGACAAGCTAATCCACTGAAGAGCGGAGGAAAAATACATAATTTCGTCTGGTTTTTTATCTGTGTCGCAGCTGAGTTGAGTGTCCCACTGGTCTTTAAATACACCCAAGAGACTAGGCTGTTACACGTGAAGGAGCTTTTAAATTTTATAATCTTTTGAAATATTTAAACGAATTTCTCCCTTTATTAAAATATCGGTATAAGGGCATTTTAATACGGTAAAGGATAGCCTATTTTACTCGTATTTTTCCATAAATTCGTGAAATTCTATTTTCGTCATTGCGCAACGATGAGAAATTGTTACTTACGACAACGCAATGCCAGTTTATGGTGTTGGATGGATGTCTGTTAGATTTCCACGTAATAAGCACAAAACGGAAAATTTAAACTTCACTATACAATGCAAATAGAGTTATATAAATCGTCAATAATAATGATGGGAAATAATAATAACGTAAACAAATATCATTAAATTAAAACCAAACAATCCCAAAAGAAAAGACGTGGAACAACACAGATATGCGGAAATAGCAAGGTCATAACCAAGGTAGTTCAGTAAATTTGGAGATAATAAATACCCCACAGTCGAAGAAAACAATACTATCCCAATTAACAAAGTATTAACTGCAATTTGGTTGTTTAACTACGCAGGGCGGGCTTATCGCTTTCCGGGCGGCGCGCTGACTGGCAATTTTCCCTAATTTTCTATGTTGTGTGTAAATGCTTGATTTATATTTCGTCAAGCACGCTCTCGTATAGAGCTCATGCAAGTAGGGGTACCATGATGTCAGGTCTGCAAGGACTAGTTTTGAATTTTGAAATAGATTTTCTTGGGTCAGCAGTACGTCATTCATCGTCATCATCATATCAGACGATGGCAGACGTAAGCCTCTCGCTAGGAACGCTACAAAGCAATGCTCTTTTTTCATCATGCCGCTGCCAGCTATCTTTGTACCCACCCTTGTTAGGTGGTCAGTTTCTATCAATTATCATAATTTCTTGCTAAAACACTTGTATGAAAGACACTGAACCTTTACGAAATTAATAAACTAAAGATAGTGCGGCCTAATGGCCGCACTATCTTTAGTTTATTAATGTTATGCTTCTACAAGCAGTCGGGGTAGGCTGTGGTCCAGTTGTGGGACAAAAGGCACTATTCTCACCTCTAATAGGGCTTCAACACGTCTTTTGTCATGTTCATGAAAACTAAACTGTCCAACACCAAATTGTAGTGTGGTCACCCTACATATCTCGATATAATTTGTCTCCAGGGAAATTCTCTGGCGTGGTCTTACGCTGAATTAGATTTACATTCCGCTCTGTGGCTGGAATCATGCGTTTTATCCGGACAAAACATCCTGGGTAAACAAACTCCTAATTAATTTATGCCTCTGTCTATTTGAACAGTCTTTGGGCGACGATTAAATATTGGGCCACATTTGAAATAATATTTCTACAGTTGGGTAAATGTGTGAAATGGTTCTTGAGGAACGTAGCTTTTTCATCAGCATTCGTATCTTTAAAAATTGGCGTTAAGTAGTTTATACCTACTAGATTCCTATTTAGTTACTTTGACAATACTCGTATTAATGGGTTTTGTTGATGTTCTGCATTTGAAACTTAGGA